AACAAGTTTTCTCTTTTGTTGGTTTTTGTGCAGCCACCTTTTGTACATGTGACCAATCCCAGCTGTCTTCCAAGAAATTACTTTGTGCTTTGCTTCGACCTTGCCAGAAGCAAGGTAAGGGGATTTTTCTTACTATCGCAAAGTTTGTGCACTGGACTTTCCGCGCAAAAGCTTTATGAGAAAATTCCTTTTTTGTTATAATGCTTGACAACCAATAACATCACACATTACCATATATTACAATTAGGGCTACCTTGTGTCAGCAAGTATGCACTACATCAGGGGTCTCCAACCTATCCCTAGCCCAGGAGCTTCCAAGTAGCTCCCCAAACTATTTAGAAATTAACACATAATCCTGAATGAGTATGAGTTTTAAATAAAACATTTTACTATACTGCACATGCTTCCATTATGTTCACTAATGTATGGTTGCAGAGTAATATGGTGAACTTTACTTGTGTGTTCTCCATGATTTGTTATTGTGTAGAGTATCTTGTGTCTCTACAGGGGTGATTATGGAAATAAATATCTGTGTAATTATGTATATTGAAGTTCTGTATTTGAAAAGTCAAACACCTGAATCCTCTATGAGCCTGAAGAAAAATAAATAAAATTAAATTAACAAAACTGATGCCCATTATACTAGTATGAATATATAAATAATGAGAGGAGCATTTTGGGCATGTCATTTTGCAGTATGGACAAGACTCTTTCTGCACTCATTCCCATTCTACACAAACTAAAACTTTATTCTAAACCAGTCCTTACAAGCGACTGTTCATCGTGGCTGGGCTCGGCGCGTCGACAGGCACACACCACTCACGGCGCTTTGCTGCACCCGCTCATACAGAAAGTGCATTAGATAAATATGGAACCCTATAGTTGGATCGTCACGGTGATAGCCTTGTCACATGAGCGCATCTTTGGGGCTGTGATGATTCTGAAGCGGATCATTTTAACTACGCCACTCTCTGACAGCTCGTCTCCGGTGACGTCCACCTAACGAGGCCGTGCCATTCACTGCAAAAATTCTGGTTATCGTTCATCCTTTATTTTTGACTGAGATTAATTAAAGCTGGGGTAGCCAACTTTCAAACCACAAAAACAATACAGCTATGTATTCAAATCATTCTAATAGTTCCTAGCTCTCAAAATAGTTTGGTTCTATCTCTGGTTTTCACATGCATGGTATTTTTGGCCTCACATCTTTAGATCAGCTTTCTTCACACAGACATGTGAATAAAAGAGGACCACCCTCACCTCCCACTCCATAGAATCAAATCGTGACTCACAGGGCTCTCGCTTACATGCAAAAGATAAAATAAGCGAGAATGAAAACTACATGTTGTGGTATATTTGAGCTTAGAATTTTACTTGTAGGTGACTGTCACAAACAAAACTCTTTTATGGGAAACAATGATTACTGATACAATCAATTATGTTTTAGAAACTGAAAGAATTGTTTATATTGATTTACAACATGTATAATGAATAAAAAGGGAACCCGAGATCTCCATCTAGTGGTTTGAGCATGAAATTACTTTCGGCTATTTTAATGAAACTTACACATGGTGGGGCCTTTTTTAAGTTGTAAACTGTTTGTTTTTACAATTGACTGGGAAAATTCCCTGTTGAATTCTCAGGGAATACTTCTGTTTTAAAAAGCAGAAACGGCTCTGTCACATCGCAATCTGAGGATTCGTCACAAGTTTTTTTGGCAGTATTTAGTATTAGAGTGGGGGGGTGGAGGGGATCTTCTGTGCTGATCTATGCCTGAAGTGACTGAAATTGTGAATGCAGCTAAAGATGTGGATGAAAATGTTGTAACACAGCCTTTGCATAATATGTGTTCTCTAAGATCAAAATCTACCATCTATTTTTTAGTATATGACCCAAATCGGGGAAGGCTGTCATCATTCCTAAGATTTTTTTTTTTAATACAAATACTGATTTCTTCTTCCATCTCGCTGCCCCCTTTCCACAGCCTGGTCTGGATCCGCCATCCCCCCCAGGGCACAGCTCATTAGCCCCTCAGCCTTTGCAAACAGGTGGGCCATGTTTGGCACAGACCCTCCAACATGGTGTCGGACTTAATTGGGCTTGCACACACACACATATCCCCCCACTATCCTCACACTATCCCTCCCGCCTTAAAGACCGCCGCATTGTTCCCTGGGGAGTGGTTTAGCCTTGTGGGCCGCCCCGCTAAACCCAGCCCCAGGCACCTCCCTTGGCCCGCCTGGTCAGATTCCCCATTAGCCCGAGCTGTTAGCCACATAGATCCGCACACACACAGGCCACACACGCCGCCGGCATATTTCCAAGAGAGTTGTGTGCCCAGCTACAGGCCATAGTTAAAGATGGTTAACACTAAGGCCGTGTTTAAGAGTAAAATGCCCAGAGCAGTTGTGAAATGTGGTTCAATTTGATACGCTGTAGGAATAGAAATGTATTTTAAGTATGGGTAAAAAACTAAATGAAATGTTTTAAATAGGCGATCTCTAAGTTGGCAATCTCTAAGTAGGCGATATCTAAGTAGGAGATGTCTAGCAAGCAAACAGGTTCTTAGTTATGTAAGAGTGGTAGTACTATAGCCAAGAAGTCTGTTTTAAAACCAGTTTGGCTCATGAATTCATTTATGAGAAGCGATTCCAAAGTTCCAGTTTTACATACAGCGGTTCCAGCAATTCCGATTTCTACATAACATAAAATCAAAGTGTCCATTATCTTGAACATGACGTTTATGATATTAATATTATTTGTTATTTCCCTGTATATACTTTCCCTGTCCTCTGCCATGTGAGAACCTGCTTCTATGTTGTAAGACAAAGACATTGCTTGAGAGAAATAAAGCTTTTCTTATCTTGAATACATGGTTAATTCTACTAACATTTACACAGTCCTAATGTCAACAAAGGCAAAATTCCCTTTGAAATGATTATTGTGAGCGTAACGGCTATGTTCAGGCTCATTAGGTAACTTAAGTCGAATGCATCCATATTTTGGGCTGTTTAGAGCACTTTCATATTACTTGAGTGAGTTTTTATTGTAGCACATACATTGTTTTTTTTTCCAACTTGACAACTAGATCATAGAAATTTGGAGAAATACAGTATTTACTCCAAGTTCTAACATTCGATTGACAAGTGAAACAGATCTTTATCGGGCATATACTCACCCATGACTGGAAGTGCAAAGTCTCAGACTGTGTACCACTGCTTTTCTGCATTCAATCCTCAGGCAGCTGGGCGTCAGAAGCAAAAGCAGCGGCTCCAAACTATTAGATCTTTATTCATACTGAAGCCAGAGTCCTGAAAGGTGCATAATAGCCATCTGGAAAATGACAACTGCTGCACTTCATTCTTGCAAAAAGGTGCCAAAGGCCGTAGGATCTTTTTATAAGAGCGACTTGATAGTGCCGCTAGCTGCATATTCAGTGGGCAGACAGCAACTGTAAACTACTTGGATTGCTCTAAAGGTGTGTCGAATAATCCAAAATGAATGAAAGGGAAGGCCAATTTAAGAATGGCCGGGACAAATTTTAGTTCATCACCCTGCAAAGAGGTATTGTGATTGTCTTTGTGTATCTTTCTGTCTGTGTGAAGGCAGGAATGCGCAAAAAACGACTTGCGATTAGGTGTGTGAATGGGGTGGGTTTGTAATTTTGTGACTGCATATATTCTGTTATCACTTGATTTGTTTTTAATGAACAACAAACACTCACTCTCACACTACTCCAGGATACAAAGAACGTTGGATAAAAACACAATCTGTACAAATCAAAAACTTGATATAACTTTGTCCACAGAGCTGCTTCAGTCTGGTGTTGATTGGAACTTTTTGTATCGTACATGCGTGCAGTTGACAGCTCTATAAAAGGTGAGACAGCGAGTATATATTCAAGTGAGAAGGTGAGGAAAAAGTTTAGACAAATTACAAAAAAAAATTGGTTCAGTCTTTCAGCAAATTTAAAGCTAATTCGCTAAGATGAATGTCGCCAAGAGAAACACGTACTAAATGCTGGCTTTAAAAATGCCTTTTGATTTGCACCTCCATTTTTAGCTTCCCAATCCCTTGCCTATTCAATCACTCGTTTTCTTTCTTAAACTTGACAAAAATCCACAGCTCAGAAATTACACGGACCATAAAACATGTATGGATTGAATTCCCTTTGCAAACATTATGTCCCCCAGGCCCTGGTGACACCGGGGTCAGAGCAATCATCAGTCCTGATTCAGTGCTGCCCCTGTCACCAGTGTGGCCTCATGGCTTTATTTAGGCGTGTACTGGTAATGGCTTGGGCACGATTATCAAAGAGTACACGCTGACTATAACCACTATAATTGTACAACTTTTTTGTGCTAGTGAGAAAATGTTTCATATACATTCCTATTTTCAAAAGTAGAAAAACCGTGACATTTGTAGATAATAAAGAGAGTATAGTAAGTGTGAAAAAATAGGGTGATCAAGTGTTAATACTATTTTACTGTATTTGAGTAAATTCGTTTTGATACAATTCTGAAATAGATTTTGTGTCTGTTTTTATGGCACGGAAAAAGTAAAAAACCATGGTATGTTTAGTATTGGTGTATTTTTTCGGCTAAAACGTTGCAGTCTGAGGAAGTTAAATGTACTACTGCTTACATTTTGGGAGTCGGGACCTAAAATATTTTGTTTCATAAACAACACGTTGTTTATGAAAAATCTGATCTATAGATATAGCCGAGGTCAAAAATACATGCAAAAAATGATGATTGAACCAAACTGTTTTAGAGCCAGGAACTAGTTAACGGTATATAGTAGTATATGGATTTCATTAAATAGTTTTTGTTTGGTTTGAAAGTTTGGTACCCCTACTTTAAATTCAGCATCAGATCTACAGCGTTTCATCTGTTTGTCTCAGTCAGAATCACACTTTCAGTCCGCTGATTTCACCACACGCCAGTTACAATCACCTCCTAATTCCAAACTCCGCAGGGTCCTCTGTCCCATTATCGCTGATGTGTCCCGGGGGTATATTCCACCAACCTGCTCTTGTCCCACCGGAGAACCAGCCAAACCGAGGAGGAGTAGGGAGTGAGTTCATCCCAATTACAGACGCGGGTAACGGGCCTAATGAGGAGACAGGTGGCCCCGTCATGGAGAAAAGCCCCGCGCGGTCATTAAAGCTAACAAAGGCGCCCCCTACGGCTGGGATTAGGGGCTGCGGCAGTCAATACACCCCCCATCCCTCCCTTCGCCTCTTCCCTATCCCGTTGCCTTTCTGCTCTTTATCTGCAGCGTGTTTGGGGTCTGCGTGCGATAATCAGACCGCGGGCAAGAGTTTGAAGAGCTACGTGTGAAATCGCAGTGATAAGGAGGCTGGCGTCGGAACAGGGGGAAAGGAGAGGGAGAGAGAAACCGGCTGCAAATGAGTTTACTGATAATTTGTGGTGGAAAAGATAACGTGAAGTTCGTTTTTATGTGGAAAATACAAGTTTGCTGTTTATGTCTGTGTGATAGATATGCAACAATACATACAATTCATGGGAGGGGATGCTTGATTTGAGCTGCGATATTGGTGCTGGGGATCTGGTGCCTGTTTGTTATATAAAATGTTGTTTTTTATTAGTTTTAGGGACAGTGTACGATAAACCAAGCCAAAAGGATTGTACCGGGTTATAGCAGAGGTGCTCATTGTCTTTGGTCCCCAAAGAGAGAGCGTCATCTTTCACCTCCAGTCTCTCTCCCTAAAACCTTCAAACAAGGTCAGAAATCTAGGGGTAATACTGGACTCAGACTTAAATTTTAATAGCCACATCAAATCAGTAACATCAGCAGCTTTTTACCATCTAAAAAACATTGCCAGGATCAAAAACATAGTGTCTAAAGCAGACTTGGAGATTCTTATCCATGCATTTGTCTCCAGTAGGTTAGACTACTGCAATGGCCTGCTCACAGGTCTGTCCAAACAGGCTGTAAAACAGCTGCAGTACATTCAAAATGCAGCAGCTCGAGTCCTGACTAGAACCTGGAAGTACGACCACATTAGTCCAGTCCTCAGGTCTCTGCACTGGCTTCCTGTGGCTCAGAGAATAGACTTTAAAACAGCTCTGCTTGTGTACAAGTCTCTCCATGGCCTCGCACCAAAATATATTAGTGACATGTTAGTCCCATATGAACCAGCCCGGACTCTGAGGAGCACAGGGACTGGAATCCTGTTAGTGCCCAGAGTCAGAACTAAACATGGGGAGGCTGCTTTTCAGATTCATGCTGCTAAAATCTGGAACAATCTTCCTGAAGATGTGAGACATCCTCTCTGAAAATGTTTAAAACCAGGTTAAAAACAGTTCTGTTTAGCTGTGCATACAACTGAGGGATTGTATATTTTATATTTTTATTATCTTTCTTTTTAATGTACTGTGATTATTTATGATTTTAATGCTTTCTTATTTTTGTTCAGCACTTTGAGTTGCCTTGTGTATGAATTGTGCTATACAAAATTAACTTGCCTTGCCATGCCTCATTTACATCTGTGTGCAACAAACCTCATAAATGTGTATTTTAGTAACGATTATATTTTTGTTATATTATTAGATAGTAGGGTTGGGCGATATGGGCCTCAGCATGTATCACGATTTTTGTTGGTATGTATCACGATATGACGATATGATAATTTTAACAAAGCCTCATATAAAAGCTATAAAAACTTAGCACTGATAATTTTAAACACACTTGCCTCAAAGTGCATTTACTGATTTATTGGCAGCAAAATGTGTAATACAGCTATTGTATATAAAACGTATTAACAAAACTGAATTGTAGAGAATTCTGTTTTGTACATACTGAAAATTGCAGGCAACATGTAATGAAGGTGAACATTTGTAATTTGTAAAATATATAAAAGTTTGTCCTTTGTAATATAAAAAGTGTAGCATTATCAAATAATTATTTGATCACTTTGGCTTATGTTTCCTAATCCCAATATAGTCAAAATGATCAAATACTGTATATATTTTTTGTATCCTTTTGCGTTTCTATAATTATGTAATTATAACTTAGTTGTAATTATATTGCAATGTAGACAAACACATGCATTGAAGTAAAATGAATGACAGTAAACAGTAAATAAAGCTTACCAATGGCACTGTGAGAGAGAGAGAGAGCGAGAGCGAGTGTCCGAAGCAAGCCACTCGAGTCCAGTTGTTTAGGGCAGCTGCTTTCACAACATTAGATCCACTGTCGATAGTTACAAACAATTGCGTCTTTTTATCTAGTTCCCAAACTACTCCCATATGTTTGAGGTAGCTCCGCGTTTTGGCACAATGTCTTCTACAATCTGCATGTCTTCACCATGGTCTTCACCGCCGCCCTCAGCCATGTTTGCTCTCTGCTCTGTTGTTGTTGTCCCTGCACGCCGCTCTGCTACACGTGTCGCGCAGATGCGTCATCAAAGTGCGCCGCACACAAACGTGTCTTCCGCTCGCTGTTTTCAGTGTTAAATGATCGTTTTCACCGGTATAAGGCATTTTCTTATCATTTAATTTACTTATACCGGTATACCGGTACAACAAAAATATCGCCCAACCCTATTAGATATGCATTTTAGACTTTCAACATAACTTATGTAAATGCCTCATGACTGCTGCGAACCACAGTGTGTACTCCCCAAGTGTACTTATCCTTGAACAAAGGACAATTATTCCTCCAGAGTTTTATTTTATTATATTATTTTATTCTTGCGACCTGCTCTTAAGTGATCTTATTGTCTCCATCTATACTGCAGTAATGTGCGCAACGATGACATTGAAATTTCCCCACTGAGGGACGGAAAACGTTTATCTTATAAACATGTAAACTATGTAATTGAAATTGAAGTTATTTCAATAATCTACAACTATGTTATATTCTTGTATAATCGTTAACTGTTGTATAAAGACTCCAACATATGTGTTCTATTTTTTGAGACAGGTGATGCTAAAACTCAAACAGAAAAGCAAGAAGTCTTTTAATGATGAAAAAAATAATAGTCAAATTGAGATGCGATATATTAGCTTTCTAAACATCTATTTGAATAATCGCTAATTGTAAGTTACTAGCTCTAATGGAGACACTGCAAGGTAAGGGTCGCACAGGATCTTGCACTATAAAACTTGTATAAAAAATACTTAGAAATGATCAATCAAGGTTTTATTTTGGCTCACTTATATGATACACAAAACCTCCCCAAAGGTCCATTCTTCAGCCGACTCATTTCCATTCTAATTGCTCATAAGTCTCCTCTCTTGAACAAACGCATTATCCCTCTCTGTTTGTTTACTGTGTACGGTACAACACAATGAGTGCCGTCTTCATTCTGGAGAGAAAGTGAAAATAAGCTGTTTGTGGCGGCTGCGTACACCCAGGCAGGAAACCCCACCGGCTGATGTGGCTGTAATTACCTCCACCGAGTCAGCCCCAAACTCTGCAACCCTTCCTCACCAAAAAAAAACAAAAAATCTCTCACTCCCACAAAACAAACAAAAGCAAAAAGTCAGTCGAGGATACAGCCCTCAGCGGGTACGTGCGAAACTGAGCCCAAGAAATGTGGCTTAGTTTAGACAAATCTGGAGTAACACAATGGACACTTCTCTACCACAGAATAATGCTGTTTGTGTGAGGTTCAAACGCCTATTGTTGGGTGGGAAATCTGATCGCTGCAGCTCACAATGGTGTCAAGAGAAGAGACGTCAAAATGAAAGGCGACGTGCTCAGAGCCATAATCGATATTAGTCGTGTCTAGAAAATATGGAAGAGAATATAATGTGTGTCGAAGAGAAATCAATTGAGGCTCATTGAGGCTGTCTAATTTGTAATCAAAGATCAGTTGTATGGATTACAGGCCGGGTGACTTCCTGTAACCTTGCTCAAGTTGAATAATTGGAGAAATATGTTGTTGTGTTTTTCTTTCAACCACGTTACAACATGTTCTCTTTTTAAAAACCTATGAGTTATTTTTCGCCCTTTGAGCTCCTTCTGTTCAAATGCCCCTATCTCCAAATTTGTACGCTGTGACAAAGCCTGAGACGACAACAACATTGTGTTCACTAGCAAAGTTTATCCATATATTTAAACTATTAGCTGGTGTACCTTTGTTTTTGTTTCAGAAATATGTTTTACAGAAAGACTATTGTTTAAGTAATATGTGGTAAACAAATCAGACCACAGTATGAGGTCATGATCTTACTATAAAACATTAGATCTGTGAGATGGTGAGAGCTGATTGGCTGAGTGAGGGTGGTCCTCTTTTTTTCCACCCTTCTGTCTGAAAATGTGGATCTAAGGCCAAACTACATGCTTGTGAAAACCAGCGATTGTCAACCATGTAATCAAATCCATGCTTCTTGCTCAACTCGTTTATAGATAACTTTGTGTTGTTTTGAAGTTAGGTACATGAGCTTTAATACATGATTTCACATTCTGCAACATGAAGAAAAGGCAATGGATGTGCATGTTTTTGAAATAAACATATTTTTTTGTGTTATTTTTGGCCTCGTCAAATCAAGATGTGGTTTCTTGTTAGACCCTCTACAGATAAAGCTCTAGTCCTGCTTTGTGGTCTGGCATCGGAAAATATTTACTTTAATTATGATAATTAGAACAAGTTGCTAAGCTGTGTGGACTTTAAAAGGTCTAATGACTATGTGCACAATGTTAAACCACAATGTTGTAGTTGTTGTTTGTAGAGAGGCAATGATAGTAATCCTATAGAGTCTATTATTGTGTCTGATTCAAATATTTGCTGTATCTGGTATCATTCAATGGATATCCTGCTTTGTTCTTCTATTTTAGTGTAATCAAACTATTTACAAGCTTATGTAGACCTAGTTATCTTCACTCTGTCTTCGCTCTTTTGTCTCTACTTGGAGGAATAGTTGGAACACTTCTTCATATAGACTGACCAGCGATCGACATTACATTTCATATGATGTGACCCTTAAATAGTGCAGAAATTAGGGATTGGTTTGCACATCTGGGACAACATCCGCTTATAAGTTCCACGCACTGGTTTTCATCACTCGTCAATCAGTTTCAGGCTCTCAGTATCTAAAGATTTTTTAAATAGCTAATAAGATGAAGATGCTCAGATTTGTTCACAAAATGTTACTTAAACATAATTTTCTGTTGGGAAAAACTATATGTATTTATGAAACAAAAACAAGTTAGCTACCCCAGTTTTAAAGGAATAGGCCACCGTTTTTACATACTGACATATGTTCTTACCTTATCTTAGACTAGTTGATATGTACCTGTCTGGTCTTTGTCCGTGCGCTCTGTCAGGCAAACGGAGCACAAATGCAGCCTCTTCCACAGACTGTATAGT